CTGCGCTGCCGACATTTTGTTGGGAGCCGGAGGGTTGATCTGTGCGAGTTCCCGAGACTTGCCCTTTGCCACGCCCCCGGCCACCATAGCCTCCTCGGTGACCCTGCTGTCGTTGGACGTATTGGCCGAGGTGGCCTGCTTGGATGAGCTCTTCGATGCGGTCTCAGAGGGTGCGACACTCCTCCGTGGTGTGACCGTGGTTCCTGTGATACCGACAGTGTTTGGACTTGTCGGCGCTGTTGGGAGTGTGGCCAGGTGGTGGAAGGGCGAGTAAGTTGTTATTGTTGGCTTCTTCCAGGATGTGGACCCTGGGTGCATTCAGGGGGGTGTAGAAGTCGTATCTCCCCCCTCTGCTTGCCTTAGCCGACCTCTTGAACTGGTTGTCATTGTAGACTTTGACCTTGTCGTTGTGCCCCTGTTCCGGCTTTGCTGGTCCCTTTCTGCAAACCTGGTCATGGAAGGCGGAGTGTTCCTCCATCTGGATGTACCCTGTCGCGCGGGCGCGGAGCTCGTCCATGTCGCAAGGGGTCTCACGACACAGGCTGTCGACAAATGGCCCCGGTTTGAGTGCCATGAGCATGGCATGTAGGGCGACCTCGGGATTCAGGTTTCTGATTTTGATCGAGGTGGCAGCGAACTGTTCCATGAATGCCCGGAGTGGTTCGTCGTCGTTTTGCCTGAGACTGGCCAAGGCGGCTGAAGTGACATGATGAGGTCGGCTCGTTGCATATTGCATGGTGAACCTCCTGACTAGGGTGCCGAAGCTGTCAATGGACTCGGGGGGCAGTTGGGTGTACCAGTTGAGTGCGACCCCCTTAAGTGAGGTCAGAAAAACCCTACACAAGATAGCGTCGTTGTTGGTGTAGAGATTTACCTGTGTTGTGTACAGGTCGATGTGCTCGTCCGGGTCCGTCGTGCCATCGTAGCGGTCGAGGTGGAGAGGCTTCCACCCATGAGGGAGTGGTGTCTCCATAATGCCATCCACAAAAAAGTGGCGGCGGAAGGTTGCCGGTTCTCCCGCAGCATGAGTAGGGGCCTTGCTGATGGCCTGTGCCTCGGTGCATGCGACCGATGTGAAGCAGGTCTGGGGGTTGGAACCCTAGTTGCAGTCCGGGATTAGGAGACTGAGTGCTCCTGCTCCTCATTGTGGTTGCTCGTATGAGGAGGATGATCGGAGTGGTGTCGAGGTAGTTGAGCGCGGATTCGCTCGTTCTCGGCGCGTAGTGCTGCCAGGTCGGCTTCATTAGCGGTACGCATTGCCGCTAGGTCAGTGTCGTGCTTGGCACGCATGTTTTGTAGGTCGGCGGCATGTTGCTGCCGCATCTGTTCGACCTGGTCAATTAGTCTCCTCAACGCTGCTACGTTATCCATGGTAGTTGAGCGGTTTGCGTCGTCTGTTGTACGTCTACTATGGCTTCTAGTGAGAACCATATGCGTGGCCGATAAGAGCTGTCTTGATCGGCCCCACGGTGGGCGTCAAATGTTCTTACCGGAAATCTGCTGTAGAGCTGATTCGCCAGGTAAGATCGGTGAGCCTCCTTCACGGGTACGCTGGTGCTCCAAGATTATTTAATGCACGTACCTTAGTGTGAATTAGGGTTGCTTTGGGCCTTGGGCTTGAGATAAGTTGTAATATGATTAGACAACGGACCTTGTCTGGGGCGAGATCCTCGGGAATCGGTTATGATTCACTTAAATGTCGAGCTGATGCCGTGCGGTGTGCGTCTGAGGTCGGTTTGCATTGTAGTGCCGAGCTCGGAGTTCGGTTACGTGGTACGGATAGTACATCCTCCAAATATAGTTAAATTTATTTATGTCTTTGTAAATTTTAAAACTTTTAAAAGTAATTTTTACTATTACTTTTAAATCGAATAACTTGTAGACATGTTACATGTCATTTTTGTGTAACTAATAGCATTTATGCGATGTCATCATTGAGAAAAGAAAAACAAAATTACACTCCTTTTATTCTAATTTTTAGCATATCTAATTGTAGATGATGTAAAAAAAAAATAGAACATACTTTTTGTTTGATGGACTTGTGAGTCTTAAGTCATTTCTTCATCCTCATGTAAGTCATGAGCATCAAGGGTGTACTAATTGTCATAACCACAGTCATGCTTCTTAATGGTGTCCTTATCGGGGTCAGAGTATTATTCTTCTACACCATGTGTCACTATATCCAACATTAAAGAAGATGACTTAAAATATAATACAACTTGCTTGCAAATGTGATTCATACCAGGATAGAATGGGGATAAGTTTGGAATAAAGCGGAAGTTGAGAATTGATTGGGATGAGAAAAATGTAGAGAGGAAGAATGGAAAAAAATTGTACAAAGGAGGTAGAGAAAATTTCTAAGAGCGAGAAGATAAAAATGGATAAAATTATAGATATATTGTGTAGTTATTATTTTAAAAAAAAGTAATCATCAATAAGGGTAAAATCTTAAGTTATAGAAGTTATAGATAGAAGTTAAAAGAGAATACTAACCTGGAAACTATGAATGAGACAACATAAGATCAAAGGTACTAATGGCCTTCATCGATCAAAACACAATATGGAAGACATTGATGTATATCATTGGCAATGAGTCATGGAACCAAGATTCAAGCGGGTAAGTCAATTTCAACAACGTGTTTTGACTTTTTTTAGGACAAAAAATATGTTTTGTTTCTTGCTTGAAAGTATAGGGAGTGATGTTGACAGAAGAATCATGTGCAACCCAGTTAGATACGATAATTGTGTGATTTGGTGATAACATTGAATGAAAATTTTGGTGAGAGAAAAAAAACACTATCTTATAAAACGTTGGATTGGGACTCATAATAGAGTGAGAATGGATTTGGTTTATGATTTCTTTGAAAATAACATACTTAACGACGACTATTTGTGTGATTATTATTTTGAAAGAAAGTAACCACCGTATGGTTATTATTTTGAAAGAAAGTAACCCCTTTACAGTTGTTATTTTGAAAGAAAGTAACCACCTTACGGTTATTATTTTGAAAGAAAGTAACCATCAATATCAATAATAATAAAGGGTAAAATTGGATAAAAGAAAGTGGAGACCAAATATTTATAAGTTTTAAAATATATTTTTTTTGTAATTTTAAAACTATTAAAAATTAAATAAAATTAAAATTTCAAAATTAGGCATATTTTAAATTTGAATTTTTAATAAAATATGATTATATATTTAAAATTTTAAATCTATTAAGATAATAAGTTTAAAAATGAATTTTTATAATTTAAAAGGAAAAAAATGAATTTGGAAAATAGAGATATCTTAAATTTGAATTTTTAAAAAGTTGAATAAATTTAAATTTACTGTAAAAATAATGCATAAAAAATCATGGTAAAAAATGACTAAATTTACATAATTTAATGTAGAATTTTTTTTAATGAGCGTGAGAAAATAGAATTGAGAAAAGAGAATCAACTTGAAAAAACGTGGCTGAGGACTTTGAGCAGAAGTGAGAAACTCTTAATCCTTAAACACAATTGCGAAACTGTCAATCCTTGAAATCCTTTCCATGTTGTTAGCCCATCTATTCGTTCTCATTCTACGTCAAAACCAACAAACAATGGTCGTAATGTATACAATTGGTGAAATGTTTATTGTGGGCAATTTAAGTGGATTGAAAAATGAAAAAAAAAAGTAGAAAGGTTTGAAGGAAATGGGCCTAAGAGAATTGAAGGGAAAATAGAGAGACAAAGACGATAACAGGATATGATAGAGAGTATAAGAAGAAGAAAAAAGGTGTGAGAGGTTTGTTGCGAGAAGAAAATAATGAAATAAAGTGGCTGGTGGGGGAGGAAAAATTTCCTTTCTCTTGAATCTCGACTGTCATGAGAAAGGATGTACCATGAAATGAAGGATATATTATGTAGGGATATGAAGTTACTTTAACAAAAAAGAGAGGAAGCAAGAAAGAGAGAAATGTGAAAGTGCGAACAATGAATGCAATTACTTAGATAATATGCGGTTAAAAGAAATAAGAGTGAGTAGTTACTTAAATAAAATGACATAATTACTTGTATTAATTATTTAATATATAATATTATTAAGATAAAAAAGTCATAGTAAAAGTGAAGACCAAATGGTAGTTATAAACGTTTGTATCCCTTTATATAATGTTATAGATATATATAATGCATAATAGAAGAAAAAATGTTATATTTTTATAAATTTTTTTACAATTTTTATATAATATTATTTTTTTCTTCATCTTTCACTCCAATTAAATATTGTGAGAATATTTATTTATTATTAAATAATCAAAAGAAGTAAAAAATATAAATATTTTTTTCTCATCTCTTAAACTTATTTATCAATCTTATTAGTATTAATGCATAATTTTTTTTATTTATGGGAAAATTTTTATAAATCCTCTCGATTCTATCCCTAGTCCCTTCTATCAACCTTTATGATTTAATGCATAAACTTTGATATAGAATAATATAATTATTTCTCCAATAAAATTTCAATAATAAGTAAAAAAAATGATATATCATAATTTATGTTATAAATTCAATAAAATTAATTTAATTTATGTTATAAATTCAATAAAATAAATTTGCATGATGCATAATTCAATTAAAACACCATATAATAAAGACAGGAGAGAGTATTATTTTCTTAAAACTAATAAAAATAATCAGTTTTCCAAAAAAATTTAAAACTATTGTTTTCTTGAAAAATAAGGTTGAACGAAAGGGGATACCGGATTCTACATGCTCACGTATATTTCACTGCAATCCGTATACTCTTAAGACCATCTGAAGACCAAAAATAAACCTTATGTTATCTATCCCCTTGGTTATAAGGGTCAAAAACTCAAATGAAAACAAAAATTATGTGAAAATCTCACCCTTGAATTTTTAAATTTCACTTTATAACAAAAATAAATTATCAGAGAAGAAGATCCATTCCCAATAGAAAAGTGGGTTACTCGTGGGAAAGATATCCATTGAATATTCACTTGTTACTATTCTAGTTTCCGTCTATATCCGTGTATCCATAAATAAATGTCAAGCAATGAGGAGAGGAAATAATAATGAAACAGAATACACTTTGATTAACCATTACCTAAACGGTGCATAGGCGTACACTAGACTGAAAAGGGTGTATACACCATGAGTAAGAACAAAAAAAAATTAAGTTCTATAGACACGTACATCCTGAAGGGATTTGAGTAAAAGGGCAGCATCAACATCAAGCCAACACAAAAAATTAATTTACTTCCCCCACATGCTGCATACATGGCCAGTTTGGCTCACAAATGTCACGCGGGGAACTACCATCATTATCTTTTGAATATATGTCTGCATTATGCTTCACTAAATACTCAGCTATGGCTTCCCTCTCGCACGTAACAGCGTAATGCAAGGGAGTTTGTCCATCATTATCCTTCCAAAAAGAAAACACAATATCAACAAAAAGGGGCTAAGTCGACATTATTAGTGTCAATAACCGAAACATGCCAAAAAAAAAAAACAAAGAGCATCTCGAATAGCCTAAAGCTAAACTTTGAGATTATGCAACTTCTGCAGTGAGAAATAATGCCTTGTTCAAAATCCAATAATAAGTAGTCCCTGACGTTAACACATGGACCCTTAATTCTTAAGCATTATATGGATTAGAATACCTTGGCATTCACATCAGAATTTCTGCCAACAAGCAACTCCGTGACATTAAGGTGGCCACGATCCACAGCCCAGTGTAATGGTGTCCGGCCCTCACTGTCTGCATTCATTTCAAAAATGCACATTGATAAAGAAAAGCAAAAATAATAATAGTAGTCAAAAGAAAATATTAATTTGATAACCCAATGGCATGAGACAGCAAATATCAACCACAATGAGTGGTGAGGATCTTTACGTAATAATTAACAATTAGCATACTGCAAATTATCAGGGAGTCCAGATAAAATTGTACAATTCACAATACAATTGAATTCTTGATTCAAAAAATAGGTCTTATGATTCATGATTGAATCCCAATCTACTACCATGATTTTCATAATTCAAAATGAATTATGTACTATGAAGTATTTTGATGACTTGTATTTTTTAGGGATCCATCTTAGTAGAATCTCATAGCTGTCAGCGGGAGTAACAGCTTGGATGCACCAAGTTACAAATCGAGTAGGAAAGAATCATCCACTAGATGGAGTCACCAACACAAGAAGAGGCTACCTGTTAGATGGGGCCAATGGTGCACGGAGAAGGCTACCAATGAGATAGAACCACCTCAAAAGACGAGATGATATGATATGACTAGAGTTGAGAGACTACTTGATTCTCTTTTGATGGAACCACTCCCAAGGGAAAATTTTCCATTAGGAGAAGATTATCAACAAGGTGAAATTCCTTCATATTTTGATTCTCTTGTGACCACTTCATATTTTGATTCTCTTCTGAAGTTTCATTCTTTAACTAAGCTGAATAGCATTGTCATCCGTACAGCCAGCCTCACCTGGTCGGACAAGGCTTTTGTTGTTGTAGTTCACATTTTATTGAAGTGGTTTTCATCAACTATCTTCATTATATTAGCATATTATGTATGGAGTTATGGAAATAAACCACCCGTGCACTGTTCTGTTTTCCTCCTAGTTCACAGTGGTTGTTATGCTCTTACTAAGTTTATATAACTCACCCTTTCTTATCTTATCTATGTTATTAAGCAACTTAGTTCCTAGTATGATAAAACTATTGCTATTATTTGTTGTATCAAGCAACTGAGTCTGAGTTGCATGCTACAGTGAGTTGCAGTCCTTCCTAATACAATGTTTCTTATACAGGCCTCCATTAGATTTGAAGGCCTTACTGGCTTTATTTTGGAACCATGGGCATTCTGCACCTATAGGAGACTAGTCTTGAATTTATTTTGAGTTGCATAAAATATTTTATTTTATGATTGGAACAATATATGTAGTGTCTGGTTGATGTCCTGGACTGCATATATATTTTAACAGGTGATTATTATGTTTGAGATGTTGAAAATGTAGAGAAGTCTCTAAAAGAAATTTTGGCAGCACTGAAAATACTCTTTTTTTTAACTTTCTTTGGGGAAAGGGTTTTGCTAACCATGTTTTTGTGTGTGTTAGGCTTACCAGGTTAAGTACTGTATCAATTAGCTTAGTTTAGCCCGTGTGCCAGTTATGGGTTGTAACTCATAACAAGAACATAGCCCGTCTTTGGTTTTAAAACAGTGACAATGAATTTACTCATGTTAGAGGTTTGTCAAGCAAAGCTGTTGAAATCCAGGAAGATGTCTTACTAAATCACTGACTTTACTTCTTAATGCTGAGCACAAGCTTTTATGAAGAGCTTGGTCAATTCAAAAACCAAAACAATAAAAAAAATTAATGACAACTCATAGCACAGTAGAGAATGTACATTTGGAGAAGCATAAAGCTACAAATAATTTACCTTTTAAATTTACTGAAACACCATTTTCGATACACTTGAGCAGATTATCCATATCTCCTTCTCTGGCAAATCCATGAATGGCTTCCATTTGCCTGTAAAGGAAAAAAATGAAACATCGATGTGTCTACCAATATTTTGTTCTATCCAGAAACTGTACCTTTTTAATGATGAAACATCCCCATTCCTGACTACTGAGTTCTATTACTTTAAAGTTGTTCTATGTTGCTATTATTCATCAAAAAATATCCTCGATACTTGGTATATGAAGTTTGACAATTTATAACTTAAATAATCTTGTAATCAACTCATAGTCCCTCAAAATGTCAACGGCTTAAGGCGCTCCATATTAGGTGAGGATTGGTGAACGTAAAGGCAAGGTGATGTACAAGAAAGAGCACATAAGACATGAAAAAAGCATACAGATTAAAAATAAACACTTTAGAAGGATTTGTATTAGTATTATCAAGTAAAAGATAGAAACCATTCTAAAGATTGTATGCTAACCTAAATACTTAGAAACTTCATACTTGTCAATAAAAGAATAATTTATTAGGTTCAACACTTGTTCTTCCCATGTGCTAAAATTACCTATTAGTAATTAACAACAATTAGGTGGGATAAAAATCCCATTTAGAGAGAATTCCGTTCAGAGCAATTGTGTTAATTAGTTATAGAAAGAAAAAAAAAAACAAAAAAAACAAAAACCATATAAATCCAAAATTTTACTGAATCCTGAGATAAAAGTGATTTTGCTAGGAGGTACACATTGATGAGGGGTAACTTCCAATGAATATGCTTTATATGCATAATAGTTTTACAACTTCAAAATAAATATATATAAGAAATTCACAAATAGGATTGACAAATCTCATCGTAGGACCAAAACAAATGAGTAAAGAAACTAAAACCCTTTGACTTACCCTTTCAAGATACCCCACCATTCTAATTACAGGAGAGTCATTAGGGAACATCAATACATAATTACATTTATCACCACACAGTCACACACAACAATGATTGACTATGTGCAATAAATCTCATACAACTTTTAGTTTTAGGAATCTTACGAGTCACCGCCATATTCCTCTTCATAAACATAAGTGCTGAATACTGGGCCCATTGGTCCCTTAGCGTCTGAACCAGAGCCACCATCGCCACTTTTACTCCTCTGTTACATAGACTCTAGGAGTTAGGTAGAGCAAGGAAAAAATAACCAACAAAAAGAATGCATCTAAACATACTACTTTCATTTTAAACAAATTTTTTTTCTTCTTTTCGATGAAAGTAGTGATTCATCCACCCAGGGCACAAGAAACAGCTTATTCGCTCACCAACGATGAACCATCGAGCCATGTAGGATATAGCTCCGTCACAATATCAATGTACTTCTGCATTGCATCTTCAGGAGGCATAGCACCCAACTTCTGCCATGCTTGCCTTTAAAAGTACGAAGAGACAGGGCAGAGGGTTAGTTAGTTAGCACCAAATTAAACAGGTAAGGAAATAACCACCTTTGATCATTTGTATACAATAGTAAGTAATAGTAAATAAGAGATGCCTCACATCATTAGGCTTAAAAAAAGAAAGTAATCACTACCTATACAACAAGAACAAACCAAGAGGAAAAAGACGAATACGACTTTCAGTTGTAGTATCGGTCTCAGCTTAAAAAGTACAAATTACAAATGCATACAAAATAAGCTCAATGATCGCCAATCCCAAATTTCAAACATTGCTATATAAGCAAACGAGAGAGCGCAAAAGATACCCAATACATACTATTTCCTTTTCTTTTAATTTGTTTTCTCTACAGTGTCACTTGTAGAGAAAGCAAGTATAAGAACAGAGAATAGCGAATAATATACCATTTGGCACGTGCGGTCATTTTGAGGGGCGAAGGCTGAGGCGTGCTGCAGGGACCTTCGGTGGCAATCTTGTACAACCCATAAAGCTGAAGCTGAACGTCGCTGGAAACCTTCTGCGAGAGGCGATCGGCGGCGGCGGCGGCCACGAACGCCGTCGCGGCGCTGAACGCCTCGTCCAATTCGGTGCTCTCCACGCCTTCCCAATCGTCGTCGTACTCGGCGTCGCTTTCGTTCCTCACGCTGCCGTGCTCGGCAACCACGGACTCCTCCTCGTGGCGCGCAGCGGCGGCGGCATCGGAGGCGGCGTCGTCATGCTTGGCGGCGACAACCTCGGGTTCCGCGCGCTGGGCGGTGGCTGCGCGCGTGACGGTGAGGTTGTCGTCTTTGAACGAGACGACGATGGAGATGAGCTTGGCGAGAAGGTAAGAGAAAATGAGACCGACGAAAATTGATTGGAGGAGGGACTGCCACTCGCCCATGGTGGTTGGTGAAACCCTAGAAAGCGAAATTGGGTTAGGTTTTTTGGGCGATTTTTGGGGCGCGAGGGTGAGTGTAAAACCCTAGCGTGTGAGAGAAACCATATTGGGATTGACGGAGAAATTGAGGAAGATTGCGGAGGAATTTTCAGAAAGGACCATGGGAGAGGGTTCTCCTCTCGTGTGTTGTTGGCGCTCTGGAGGACCTATCAGGTGCTTCGCGCTTAGCCTGTGCCTTTACAGCATCGTCGTTCGCAGAGCGACACGTGTTACCTGGTGTTTAGTATGTGCGGGATCGCCACCGACGTTCTGTGATTGAAAGGGTTAAAGAGTACAGAGAAAGGGAAAAGAATCTTTGGAATTATTTTGCTTTTTTTAATGACATGGACCACGTTGTTGAATGAATGCATTTCCTTTCGGTTTTCAATTTTCGTAATCCGAAGAAGGGCTGTTTTTGTTCGGTTCGCTTGCATACTATCAACACAGAATATAATATGATATGATAAAATATATATTTAATTACGTATTTATCTTCCAATTTTGAAATGTATATTTATTTAATTTTCTATAATTTATAATTTATGTTTTTCATTTTTAAATATTAAAAAATTAGTTCTTCAAAATTTAAAAGTATTATTTTAATTCTTTTAATTTTAAAAATATTATTTTAATTACTAATATGATAAATGATAATGATAAATTGAAATTTTGAGACAGGTTAAAATAATTATTTTTATATTTAAAATTAAAAATAAAAATTTTAAATTTGAGAAATCAAAATAATATTTTTTGAAATTATAAATATTAAAATAAGAGTTTTAATTTTTTTTTAAATAATATACTATTATATCTTAAATTTAAATAATTAAAAATATATTTAAACCTAAAATATAATATAAGAAATGAATTAAGATAAGTTTTAACTTTATTTAATATTCCATGTACAATCAGCAATATTATGTGTTACTATATTCTTCGATATGAATTAGATAATGTTAGGATAGCTATCAATTACACCTTTCATTCGTTATTTCATTATCATTTTTTAATAAAAAAAATATTTTTATTTATTTATTTTAAAATTCAAGTCAATCTTAAAAATAATTTTTAAAAATATATGTATATTTTACTTAATTTTTAATTAATTTACATGTTAACAATTAATATACATTTGTTACATAGTAAAAATGAAAATGAATACAACAAAAAATAATAAAATAATTTTATAAAAAAGAATGATTACTTATTACATTTCTTGATTTATAGATAACAACATTCAACTGTAAAAAAATAAATAATAATAATAATAATAATAATAATAATAATATTAAACTACTATTGAAAATTAACCGGGATATATGTTTAAATGAGAATAGTAAAACAGATTTCTACTTTTATAGTATATGCTGTAATGCATCTTTTGTTTTTTATGTATGAAAGTTGTGTGAACCCAAAGTTTCAATTAAATCTAAATATTATAATTATAATTGTGTAATTTTTGGCGATCTTTGAAAAATCAAATATTTTAGTAAATTCAAAATTTTAATTAAAATTAAAAAGAAATAAGTGTAGAAGAAAAAAAGTAATACTATTTCTTTGAATGGAATCTAACATGATTAAGGCGTTAAGTAAGTCTAATGTGTACATTAATTTTTTATTTAATTTTAGATGGCATGTTAATAGGTAAATTGATATTATTTAATTTTAAAAAATTTTAAAAAATTATATTTATAATATAAAAGTTTTTAGAACTAAAATTACACAATTGTAAAATTATAAAGATGAAAAAGTAAATTTTAGTTTCTATTTTTAGTGTGATACTTACTTAATGACATCATATTTATGATTAATGACATAAACTTTAACATGATATGATGATGTGATAGAATTTTTAACTCTTACCTCTAACAATAACATTCAATCATTAAATTAATAATTTTTATTTTATCTTTTGAAATAAATATTTTTTTAATATAGAAATGAAAGTTATAATACATTTTTTACTGTATAATACATATACTTTTAATGGAAATCAAAATTGCATATATATATATATATATATATATATATTATTAAATAAACACTACTAGAATTTTTTCTATTACCTAAGAATTTTCCTAGGATGATATTCTTCCAGGTGAGCTTCCGCACGTTCACAGTGGTGATTTTGGCGAGTGGACATGCTTCGATCCACTTGGTGAGGTAGTCGATTGCTACCAGGAGGAACTTTAGTTGGTCTTTCGCAGGGGGGAATGGTCCGAGGGTATCCATTCCTTATTGGGAGAAAGGCCACAACGGCATCATGTGGTGGAGAGTTTCAGGCGGTTGTCGGTGTGCATTGCCAAGCTACTGGCATTTTTTGTATTTTTGGATGTGGTTTTGGTAATCCGGCTTCAGAGTGGGCTTTGTATATATATTTCTCGTCGAGATTTGATTATTTTTCTGCCTTCTCGGGCTCAATCTTGTTTTTAGAGTAGGGTAGACTGTATTAAGGGTTCGAGTTCGACCTCAAATGGTGGTCCTAAGGTTCAGACTTGGCCTCGGGTTTGCGTAGAATGAATTGTCTTGGGGTTCGTACTCGACCTCAGTTTTTGTGTAAGAATGAGTTTCATCGAGGTTCGGGTTCGACTTCGAATGAGTGCGTCGGGGTTCGTATTCGACCTCGTTTTTGGAGTAGAATGGATTTTGTCGAGACATGTACTCGACCTCGTTTTGGGGTAAGACGAATTTTGTCGAGGTTCGTACTCGACCTCGTTTTGGAGTAAAACGAATTTTGCCGAGGTTCGTACTCGACCTCGTTTTGGCGTAGAACGAATTTTTCCGAGGTTCATGCTCGACCTCGTTTTGGAGTTAAACGAATTTTGTCGAGGTTCGTACTCGACCTCGTTTTGGAGTAAAACGAATTTTGTCGAGGTTCGTACTCGACCTCGTTTTGGGGTAAGACGAATTTTGCCGAGGTTCGTACTCGACCTCGTTTTGGAGTAAAACGAATTTTTCCGAGGTTC